ATAAAATGGGCTCTTATGTAGAACTGCGTCCTCGTCGCAAAGCCCGTGGCTAATACTAATAGTTCTACAGTTAGGTCCGTACGAGTTACTTCCCTTAAGTAATGCCTGTTGTGAAATAGTTCGCATATTTTTATCAGAATATTTCTTATATTTCGGTACATTCTACTGTTATGATCGACCTGATATTTTGCACACAGTTTGGTAAATGGAAAATCTTTATGAATCCGAAAACAGAAGTAAAAAATATTGATTAACGAATTCTCGGGCGCGCGAAAACCTCCGTGGACACTCATTCCTCCGTGGACACTCAATCCACCCTCTTGAAAATAGTATTTATTGACGTATTTCTACTGTTATGATCAACCAGATATTTTGCACACACCTAGGTAAGTTAACAATAGTTAAGAATCAGAAGAAAAAAGTGCAAAAAATCTAATAACGAATTCGCGGGCGCGCAAAAACCTCCGAGGACACTCATTCTTCCCAAATATGCATTTTTATCGACGTATTTCGGTACTTTGTACTGTTACGATCGAACTTAAATTTTGCACACACCTAGATATATGAACAATATTTAGGAATCAGAAGAAATAAGTGAAATAAATCTTATAACGAACTCGCGGGCGCGCAAAAACCTCGGAGGACACTCATTACCCGGAGGACACTCATTAGGGTGACCCGTTGAAAGTAAGGGGCTCGATAAGGATGAATGTCCGAAAATGAAGAAAAAATGCCATTAAATAATTAATTGATATGAATATAAATAATCAGATATACAAAAAAATCGTAAATGTAAATGTATATAAAACAAATCTGTATACTTGAATTAAAAATATTTGTATAATATTGATACCAAATGAGCCAGTTTTAATAGTTCCCCCAAAGGAACCCCAACCAACGAATTGGCTCAGTGGTTAACGCATTGGACTGATATCTAGGAGACCCGGGTTCGATTCTCGCCGAGGACGCGTTTATTTTTCACAAGCATATTTAACATATATACAAAACAAACATATTAACTCATTCTCAGATCATCGCATTCAAACCAACACTCCCATCATCATCATCATTCCCGGCTACTTTATATATTTTGCCACCTTTTAAAGCAACAAACTCCACTATTCCTTACAAGAAAGGACGTATCGATCTATCGATTCATAGCCGTCATATGCTCCACATGTATATTAAACATGAGTTATCATTTCTATTGATTACAAACACTTGCATAATACCGGAGAAATTACTGAATAAGCTAATTTTTACGCGAATTTAAGGTGCTATGTACATCCATGTATTATTGCAAGATTTGTACAGCAGATATAATACCCACCGAGTGTTTACTATCCTTTTTCATATATGTTTTTTTAAGTTGATAACGTTTCACTATTATTTTTCTGACAGAGCTGCTTAACGACTCCACATTTTAACAATAGAATGAAATAAATTTAGACAGGACGGAGCACATTTTATAAAATCAATTTCATCTTATATATATTCTTTAATCTTCGACCTCAATTTTTCTATCCAGTTTTAGTGTGAATGTATTAAGACTGCTTGCAAAGAAAGAAAGATCTGAAATTATTCTTGCCGCTTTTATTTGTAACTTCTTTTGTTTTTTCTTCTAAATAGTTTCTGTTACAACCATCCAACACTTTGCTTACACATATCATAATAACGGTCTGTAGAAGAAGATATATGAATCGGACAGACTTTTTTTTAAAAACTTTAGTGTATATTTCAATTCAATATACGCCATGAAGACAATTTTTTTGGACCTTTTGTTTGCTTTAAACATAAAACATAAAATAATTGTGAAATGCACTAATGTAACGGGTGAAAAGGGGGGGGGGGGGGGGGGGGGGTACGCCAATTACACCCTCACCTGGACCCGCCCCTGGCAATATTTTAGATATGAATTTTTCTATATCCTGTTTGCATTCTAACTTACCAGAGGTGTTTTGTTGTGGTATTATTTTACAATTGTGTATCAGTAAATTGCAAATTTACACAAATTTCTGGTAACGAACCAATAAGTAGTTATACTTCTGTGTTATTAGGGTTGAAGTCTTTGACAAATAATAGCCAATCATGGTTAATGCAATTTTCAATTTCAATGTTATTAATCGAAGAGTAGGCAAGTGACGGTTCATTTGCATACTTGCTTGATGATAAGCATAAGAAATACAAATTGACACAGGACAGAACCCTGGGGCATCTCAGCCCTAGGATAAGCGACTGGTAATTCAGAGCTAATTAAAAACAACATCATTTAAATAGCCTCTACTGCAGAGGTACCTTTTTCAGCGACAACCTTGATTTTAGCACATTTTAAGCCGAAGGATATGCGTTCAATTATAGAAAGCGCCAATAAGTAACTACTATTTTACTACAAGGGTTTTGGTGCACCAATTCATAAATTCGACAATGCACTGAAACAAGTACGCCGTTCTAACCAATCGAACATTTCTTTAAAAGTATTTTGAATGTGATGAAACTATTTATTTCCATTTTGCTTTTACGTAAGTGCAAAAGATTTATTTCCATTATGCGTGTTTTTTCACTCAAGTACAAAAGATCTATTTCCATTATGTGTTTTTTCACTTAAAAGTGCAAAAGATTTATTTCCATTATGTGTTTTCACTTAAGTGTAAAAGATTTATTTCCATTATGTGTTTTTTCACCCAAGTGCAGAAGATTTATTTCCATTATGTGTTTTTTCACCCAAGTGCAAAAGATTTATTTCCATTATGTGTTTTTTCACCCAAGTGCAAAAGATTTATTTCCATTATGTGTTTTTTCACCCAAGTGCAAAAGATTTATTTCCATTATGTGTTTTTTCACCCAAGTGCAAAAGATTTATTTCCATTATGTGTTTTTTCACCCAAGTGCAAAAGATTTATTTCCATTATGTGTTTTTTCACCCAAGTGCAAAAGATTTATTTCCATTATGTGTTTTTTCACCCAAGTGCAAAAGATTTATTTCCATTATGTGTTTTTTTCACTCAGGTGCGAATCATTTATTTCCATTATGTATTTTTTACACTTAAGTGCAAAAGATTTATTTCCATTTTTTTTTAAAACTCTAGTGCAAAAGATTTGTTTCCATTGTGGGATTTTGCACTTAGGTGCAAAAGATTAATTTCCATTATGTGTGTTTTTACTACACAAATGATTTTTTTCACTAAGGTGAAAAGGGTTTCTTATACTTAATACATAATGTAAAAAAACGCTTTTTTTGCCATTATGTGAAGAATTTTTGCACTTAAATCCAGAAACGTCTTTTTTTCCACTTAAGTGTAATAAGTTTTTAGTATGTAATACATAATGACAACAATATTTGCCATTATATTATATGAAGATTATATCATTATGACGAGGATTCAGGCCTACGCCGTCATCGTGGCCCGCGTGAGTTTGTGTAGTTTACCGATTAATACGCTGTCGTCCATCGTATTTCTGTCGTAAACCCATGCAACATGTTTGCCTTTTAAAGCCTGTGCAAATTTTCCTACATGACAACTCCAATGATAATCGCAGCTACATTCGCGAAAACGTCAAAGCCAACCGGAATCACCTCAACCTCCGGCGCAACTTTAACATCTGGGGCATGCACAATACATCGGTAAACGGAACCATCCACTGTGACAAGAGGGATAAGAGGTAATCTTTTGTACTTAAGTGCGAAGGTACATAATAAAAAAACATGACTATATCAAATGTACATAATGACAAAAAACATTTTTGTTCCATTATGTGCTTTTTGCACTTAAGTGAACAAGTTTTTGCCATTATGTGATTTTTGGCCATTATGTCCAGTTTTTTTCACTTTAAAAGTGTTAATCTTTTGCACTTAAGTAGTTTATGCATTTTATCCTAAAACATCCGCCCTTACACCACTGTGTCGCAGGTTCGAGACCTACAACGGGCAGTCGCCAGGTACTGGCAACAGGTCAGTAGTTTTTCTCCTGGTATTCCAGCTTCCTTCCACCACTAGAACCTGGCACCACCGCATAACAGAACGTGAATAACAACTTAACTAACGACGGCTATACAAAACTGATACATTTATAATCTGTGCTGTCTTTTCAGCTCACCCCAACCTAGTGGCAGAGGGGCACGGCTCAATAGGAGAAATCGAGGTAAATCTTTAAAATCCCAATTCCTCTTTTGTTTTATTGAAGGGATTTTATCCAGAGCATCCTTGGGAAAGGGGGACCTAATCTTGTAAAAAACAAAACACCAGAGGGTGTGACCCCCTTGGGGCAGAGTGGGGCCCAATATAGGAAGCTTAGTAATATATGATAAAAATCCTTCTCCTTCCGTCTAATGGGGGGAATTTTAACCTAATTTTATGTAGGGCATCCTAGGTCAAAGGGGACTCAATTTTGTATAAATTGGGTGAACCAGTTGTTGCTATTCCCCTAAATGCTGAACGTTAAGTAGGGAATAACAACTTCCATTAGATAGGGAATTTTGTCAAAGCCACCCCTGCAGGTGGGGGATGGGGAAAAGAAAACACCTGCTGTTACCCACTACATTGATCGTAGGAGGCGACTAATGTTAGGTCCCCCTGCAGAATTGGGGATTTTCTTTGGTGTCTTTTCTATTTGGGGACACAAGAGCGACCAAAATAAATCTGCTGCACCCATTGCAATATTTGGGATCTTTCTATTTTTCTTTCTACTTCTAACTATCTTTTATTTCCTAGCGCCTTGCTTGGCAACACCTAACTTTTGGCTTTAATGTTGAGCGTTCGCCCAGGTGTGGTAGGCAATGGGTTCTATCCCCAGGCCGAGACATACATAAGTCCTTAAAAATGGAAGTTGTTATTCCCTACTTAACGTTCAGCATTTAAGGGAATAGCAACAACTGGTTCACCCGTTGTCAGTATAATGTTGCTGTAGTCTAGATGGATGGTATTCTCAAATTATATCTCCTAGGCCGGGACATACCTAAGTCCTTAAAAATGGAAGTTGTTATTCCCTACTGAACGTTCAGCATTTAGGGGAATAGCAACAATTGGTTCACCCGTTGTCAGTATAATTTGCCCCCCACCCATGGGGCCGAATAGCAACATAGTATCTTTCAAATCCTTCTCCTTTAGTACGATTGAAGGATTTACCAAATTTTGTTAAGGGCATCCTTGGGCAAAAGGGACTGAAGTTTGTATATCTGGAGGGTATCCCCCCCC